GTCTCACAGCAGTGCAGATGTCCCACAGCCAAAGCAGATCAAAGAAAGCACCCAAAGCGATGCCAAAACAAACCGAGGAGGCCTGAGTGAGCAAGCAAGCCAGCCAACGAGAGAAACCGGGTTCCACGCTCCCCAACCATTTCAGAATGCAACCAGGCCAGCAACTTTGCCTGTGTCCACCCGTGGTGATTGATACTTATCATCTATTCTTTTGGAGAAAACAGGGCCGAGTGGCATGTTCTAAGTGCAGTGCATGCAGGGCCCCATGGAATGAGCCATGGACCATGGAGACGACTGAGTTCATTGGTTGTCTCATAGGATGGGAGGTATGTATATATAATATATAGTATAAGGTGCATCTCCTGTTCTTAATTTGGTGCGCCGTTGTCGGTCAAATCTGTTCAAGCAGGACATGCATGAAAGTCAATTTCTATGTTCTAAGTGTTTGTTTTGTCGTTTGGTGGATGTTCTAAGAAATTGCTGGTCACTAAATGAACTTCCATCAAGCATTTGGGCAACAGCATCCTCCAGTGCAGTGCCATAGAACTGTTCCATTCCCCCCTGGTCACAGAAGAAATGAAGTGTATACCATACCATGTGATTCATTGACACTTCATGTGTTTAGTGTGTTGGGAACAGACCAGTCTCGCCGTTGGCTCAAGACCATTTCAAACGTCGACAAAGGCCACAAGGACTCACAAGGACCCTCCGATTTTTGTTTGGTGTTGTTTCTGTATTGATAAAAGCTGGATCACACTGAGAAACTCTCAATAATTATCCGATCCTCCTTTCTCCTGCCAACTCGGTTCCTCGTACCTGGTCGTACTTGTTCCACTCATTCATTCCAAGGCTTGGAAATCAAAGGCGCCACCGTCAGCGTGACTCGTCTGGTGCGCCGACCGTGGTGCCGTGGTGCGGTGGTCGCGATCGGTGTTTCTGCGGTTCGCCAAGCACCTGCAGTGGAAGACCTAATCGGGTGTGTTGACCATCTCAGTGTTTGTAGGTATTGTTGGGGTCTTTATTGATCGGAGGAGCTCTCCTGTTGGATGTTTCATGGGCATTCAATCAGCTTTGGCTGCTATTCGTCGACGAACGAAAAGGAACGTACACCGGCATTCAGGCGATGTTCGTCTAGGCGTCTAGAAGTAATTCCCAACCTTGGAGTCTCTTTGGGGTGCTAGTGAACATCCACCACTTCCAGGTTTCCGATCTTGAATCAAACCCTGGAGCCTGAAAGTTGGAAAAACCCTTTGGCCAACATACCTCTGAACGCACTCACTTCGTGTGTTTTTTTCCTTTCGGATGAAACAGCGAACGCCTGGTGGCCAGCTTCTGTGATCTCATGTTGGGAGGGAAGTTTGCAGCTTCTTGCTACTAGTTAGTAATGCCCTTGCTACTAGCAGCAATGCACTTGTTACTAGTATTAATGCCCTTTGCAGGTATGAAATATCACTCTCTCGCACCCAGAGGTTGTAAAGCAAATGAGGGCCTGTTGAGGGTCTTCACTTCGAGAGGGGGAGACTTGGTGGACGGAAAGATCCGCCCAGTCGATCTAACCTAATAGCAGCGGCCTCCAACCTAAGATGCTCAAACATATTCACATCATATATCATATATCGTCATATCCAATGAGCAGTGGATGGTTTGCAGGTGTGATGCAAAGCTGTCCCCCGCAGGATGTTTTTTTTGAACATTTGGAGATCCTACAATAAACAGCTCCAGAGTGTGAGCTACGTGACGCTACAGATTCAAGGGGACTTGGTAGGCTTCATATACCATGAGTGACACGTCAATGGCTTTGGCGTCGCCTGGCTTCGTTGGTTTCAACTTGGTTTCAGCTGAGGTTGAAAAGGCCGCGGGCAAAACCAGCTCTCACCTCAGAGGTCTCGTGCAGCGGTTCTCGGGGCTCAGAGGTCGAGAGTTTCAGTCTCTTGCAGCAGACCTCCACCGCGACTCGAGGCAGTGGATCGAGGGTGAAAACACCTCAAACATCGTGTGCGAAACATCGGCAGTGAAGGAAAACCAGGTTCTGAACCCTGAAGGAAAACCAGCTTCGCGATGGAGCTGGGCAGGACTAGTTGAACAAATCCCGTTTTAGATAAGTGCAGGGAGAGGTTTTGCTTCGCTATGCTTTGCTCCTTCCTTCCTTCACCGGTCTTCGAAAAACCGGTCGCGTCGCGTGGTCACGTCAGACCACCGCCTCCAGGTCGCGTGACGCGCGTGCCGGGCTTGCGGCCCCGAGGTTGGGGTGCCTTTCGTGCCCGTCTTCGGGTTTGTGGTGTGTTTTCATGTAGATCGTTTGATATCCGTGGGAGGTTTGACCCTTAGGCCTTAGGCCGGAGGATGCCGGTGGGTGGCCTTTTGGTGTTCGACCCCTCCACATTCGTTGTTGACGACGTCATTCGGAAAGTCCTTCGTCGTCTCGCAGCGACCAATGGGAGTCCCTTTCACTGATCCGCAGATTGAAAGACCTTCTTGGAAGTGGGTTGACCAGAGAAACTGAACAGAATGGACTACTAAGGAGGTCAACCTACCCTGGTTTGGGGATCCGGGTTTTGATCCATGCACAGCCATGTGGAACCACCTTCTATAGGACCTTGACGGCTCCCCCCAACTGGGACGGTTGACCGACCTACGTTTCGATCGAAGCGTTGCGTTTTTGTGTATTTTCGAGACCGTGCAACACGCTGACCTTTGTGGTCTCACTCACCTCACCCATGTGGTGCACAACATCGACCTAATTTATGGAACGGTCCACCTGGTCCTTGACCTTGTATAGTCAGTTTTGTAAGTTGTCTAGACTCTACATAGGGCATCTTTGTACAGGGTAAATCCAGTGGGTCCTTCCGTGTGTCCACCTTGGTGAACGGCGTGCCTGACGCTTTCATGGTTAATTTGATGCCAATTTTGTTGGACTACACATGACTACACCTTCTGCTTTGATCGGAAGTGTGCAGTTAGCAGGACATGCTCTCATTTATAGGTCCTGAAGTGCGGGGTACCCGTTGACCTACGTGCTGTTGAGCCTTAAGCTCGTGGGAATTCAAGGCTTCGCCATGACGGGGTCTACGAGATGCGTTTGGTTGTCTCCGCCAGGCCTCCAGGTCGGCTACACTTCTTTGCTTTTCTTTGACTGCATGTGAGTTGTGGAGTTTATGCTTCACTACTCCTCAAGACCAAGTTTCTAGATTTTCTAGGACCAAGGCAAGACTTAACCATGGCCAGCGTGCTCAATTTGGTCTAGATTCTCACATCATGTTTGCTAGATCGATCAGCACAGGTTGCATGCAAAACCGTGTGTGGCTGATCGCCCATTCTTTTGAGGGCTCCTCAAAAAGGAAAAGGACATCCAGGACATTCCCCTACTCTTCGTGCGCCTCTTCGTTCGCGTTCGCAAGCATGAGAGAGCCGTGGCTACTTGAAGACCCTTGTCTCCCTCCTCCCTCCTCCGTTTTGGAACCACGCGATCGTGTGGCCGAAACACCACCGTCCACGCAGTATGTCGTCGTTTTTTTGGCAAAACGGTTGAACACAAGACAAGGTTTTTCTCCAAGAAGCACTGACGGGTTTTGGATGTTGGGTCAAAACATCTCATTGGGTCCATCGAGACGAAACCAACGCCCTCCAGGTCCGTGCGAAGAGGCCGGAGAAAAGGAGCTGGCGGCTGTCGGTGTCCAGGAGCTGCGGTTTATTGTTTTTTTTCGGGATCAGCTAAAGGCTCTATGAGCCAGGGAGATCCTACGTCCTACTTAGTCAGATTCAAAAAAAGGACTGGTACTGGTGATGCCTATCCAGAAGCCCCGACGGATTTGAAATTGTTCCTTGGCACAAAAACAAGAAGTAACAAGTAGTTACACTAGAGCCCAAATTTGGAAGTTTTCGGGAAAGAAACTAAAAACAAAAGAACGTACGTGCTCTTTGCAGGGATTAGGGACATTTATATTGGACAGTAGCTCAGCCTAATAGGTCTTAATAGCGAAAATATATGAACATATTCAATCCAAAGGCAAGCACTGCACAGCATTGTTCCAATCCTTCATACGGGCACATTTACCGAAGTCATCGGCAACGTTATTGGTCGGAACCTTCGAGTCCGCTGCTGAAACAAGAAGGAAACAGGTATAAGAAAAGGAATGCCGGAGGTTGTTTCCATCATACAGAAATTGGAATGGACGGGAACACTATGCAGAACTAATTCATGAAGAACATGAGCTACCTGCAGTCACTCGTACCTTGGCGTCTAGAATGCCTAGCCTCCTAGCCCTGGCAAGCCTTGGCTATATGGTGTTTGGATCAACGCCAGGCGGTTCACTTGCTATCCTCTCAGGGTCAATGGATGTTTGTTCAGATTCACCGGATTTTCGGAGAATCAACCTTCACCCTCACAGAACCTGTTTTTTGTACTTATGCTGTGGAACACCCCCACTAATGCGAAAAACACCAAAAAAAAATGCTTGTTCGATTGCCCTGAATGGAGTACTTGATGCACGCAAGATTCATGTGTGTGTGTGCTAAACCGGCTTGGAGATTGTTGGGTTGCCATTTTGGGGTCAAACGGGCACTGCAAATGTGTCGACTTCCGAGAACGGGCAGATTGTGGCATGGTCAACCTGGAGAAAGGCATGGTAGAACACAGCTCCCGTTTTGGTAGTACCGAGGGTCTGCTCTGTTTCACATATTTGACCCTTTGGACATGTTCGCAGTGAGTTTCTTTGTGCTTGACTGGCTCAAAAGCTGCAGATCGTAGCATAAGCAGACCATGCCACCCACTAAATCCTCCAGCAAGCAGCAAGTTTCCTATAGACTCATAGGTGCAACACCAGCCTCCAAACGCTCTATACTGCCCTTCGGGGGCAGTATATTCATCCTTTGAGCTGACAAACAGCCGAAAGCTAGTGGATGAAATGCACAGCTAGTGGATGAAATGCACAGCTCACAGGTTCCAGGATGTTCCATGGCTCCCATTCTCCAAGCCATTCAGATCATCCTCCATGGATTCCATGGCTGAAGAGGCTGATTCAGTGGCTGAAGTGTCAGAATCCCCACTAATGAAGTCCAACAGAAAGCGTCGCAGGTGTCACCCCCGAATGAGTGAACCGTCGCAGGTCTCGATGTTCAAAGAGCTCTTGCTGAAGCTGGAGAGTCACCCTTCTGAGAGGGCCAAACTTGGGGCTGTGGTGCTGAGTGGATGTGAGGTTCGAGGTTTCGCAGTTTGTGACTTGGTGACTTGGTGGCCTTGACCTTTTGTTTCTTTTGTTTTGCTGAGGCTGAAGCTGTTGAAACACACTACTACATCTAGATCTGGCAGCAGATTTGAGGTTGTTGAAATATAACTACTATATATACCCTAGGAGTCGACGACCATTTTATAAATGGTCCTGGGAGGGTCGACCATTTGAGCCTGCAAACGACCATTTTCAGCAGATCTAGGGAAGCGTGACGGTGACCAGCTTCAGGATCGCTCGGAGTGGGGGCTCATCAGGGTTTCGGCGTGGAAGAGTGGAAGAACATGACCATGCAATGCATGCATGCACAATCATGCACAATTTTGTCCCCACGGGTCAAGTGATCAAGATTTATCAGATCGATGTACATTCATGATGACCATTGCCCTCGCAACTTCAGAGCTTCCCTGCTTTGACATGCCATTGCCGTGATGCCATCATCTGTGCTGGCTGAAGATCATGCGCAAGGCTTTGAGGAAGCGTGCCAGTCTTAGGCGACTACTTTGCGGATTGAAGCAGCTATGATGGCTAAGCTATAAGCGTAGTGGCCTGTTCGATCCAATCGATTTGCAAAGGTTGTTTGGAGGAATACCTCGACCCGGGCTCTACTGTAGATGTGGGTGCGACCTCCCTGAGATGCAGTGCACTTTTGTATCAATCGATCTATGTTTTTTCAAGTTGGCCTTACTTTTTGAATCTGTTTAAGCTTGTTTGTTTTGCAAGGAGTTGCTTGCAGCACAGCACATTGATTTGCAACATGGGTGACAATTGTGTCAGAGTTTTGCTCAGGCTTGCGGAGGACACTTACAGGCAGTCAATGATTTGGTCAAGTAATCCAATCGTCGAAATCTAGCATTCGGCGCATTTACTTCGATGGGAACCACGGTAACCACAAAGACCTTTTCTCCTGGTTCTTGCTTCTGTTGCTCCGCATTTCTTTGCCATGGCTGGCCCCAAAGATCACTCCACGTTCCGCACGGAACTTGTGAAGGCAAGCAATGCACAATCCTTGCAGATTCTTGATTCATGCATGCATTTATCCGAGATAGTCACTGTCCCTGCATGCGTGTACGTGGTGCATGTGTGCGTGCGTGCGTGCGTGTGCATGTGTGTGTGTGTGTCAGGCCTTTTTTATGGACTTCTTGGAGGACGATGATTGGTTGAACGCACGGCGGAAGCTGTTGCGGCAGCGGGCGGGGCTGTCGCCTAAAGATACGAAGAAAGCATTTGCCTCAGAAAGGTGATTTCTGAACTACATCCACAGTATAGTTGGCAGACTCGCGAGAAACAATGAAAGCACTCAACTGAAAGATCCTTTTGTTTGCTTGGTTGATTGCATTGAACAGTTCCAGTAGAGTTGCTATGAATTTGGTCTGCCTTTGAGATTTTGCATGTGGGCATGCATCAATGACATTTGCAAGCATATTGCACTGATCCTCAACCCATGACTAGCAATTTGGTTTGCAGAGCGCTCGGAAAACGGACATCCTTGAAAAGTCGGGATGTATCTAGTCTTGCGCTGGGATCAAGGTGCCCAAATGGAACTTCATCATCGTGGACAAAGACCATGTGGGGGCTCGTGAGGCAAACTCTGCTACATTGATTGAGTTGCAATATATGTTGCAATGTAACACGACAGTTTTAAACAAGTAATGTTCAATTGTTTGATCCTTGTCATGGACCTGATCAATCAATAATTTGTTGACATTTGTGCTTCAAAGATCAGAAGGTCGAGAACGACATGAACTACCCCTTCCTTCTGGACTACCTGGCCTCTTTTGCCCATGACCCTCCAAAGCCTTTGGAGCTAAAGGTGGGCATTTGCATTGGAGTAATTTATAAATTAGCGTTGGTCTTTCGGCGCCAGTCAGTTCTCTCGCACACACACACACGCACACCGCTCAATTAAATTTGTCAAGTGGTGCTATTAAATGGCGTCAGCTTTTCACGTGCAGCATGGCAAAACTACATGCGTGCAGGAAGCGCTAGCTTGGTGCAGCCACCACTACCGACTGAACCCGTTCAAGGAGATTGCTCTTCATGAGGCCTTGCCTGTGGACCATTGGACAAAACGATGTTGACAAGTGATGCCTGACAAAGACTCTACCTGCACGGAACTAGTAACTCTGCACTGCATGCATGCATCCGACGCGACATTATGTTTAAATTATTGACCCATCCCAGTTTGCAAGTCGATCAGGCCTGGGCTGAGACAGAAGGTGGCATCATCCGTGGCTGTGTGGCGTATGTCTTTCAGAGGTTCCAAAGGAACCAGGAATCGAGGCCGGTTGGGAAACTTGGCGCGTGATGAAGACACGGTAATTATATAATGATCAAGTCCAAGTAACGATTCAACATATAGTTTTGCCGGGTGGGGGCAAAACATAGTACCTCGTCAGCTAAATTAATAACCCCTACGGCACACCACGAGCTGCAAAACATGTTTTGTGAAATACAAGTCGTTTGTTCTTGATGATCCAATCTAGTCTGGGACACTGCGGGAAACATATCCTTGCCCATCTACTATGTTTCAATATGAACCAGCCCAAAGCGGACAACAAGCTCAATCCTTTTCACGGCAGGAAAGGCCACACCAAGATGGAGACCTTGAAGTCCTTGATTCGTTCCAAGCTGATGGACTGCTTGCCATGGGTTTTAGCATGCTACGAGTTCTAGCCGTGGCTGAGGTTTCACTGATCGGTCTGAATCGTTCTAGTATAGCTTTTATCCAGCAGCTTGCTGTGCAAAAACCATGATGGATTGGCCGGAGGATTCCAATGCATAGGTCGATCACTTTTTTTCAGGGGTACAAATTCTGGACCCACTTGCAACTTTGAACGGGAGTGTATTGGACAAGGAAATTGCTTTGTGAACACACCGACCCCAGCAGCTTCAATGCGCCCCTTCTGCTCACAGCTGGAACCAGGAGCATGGAATGTTATCGCCTGACGGACGCAAGACGCCAACCCGTGGACGTGGTGCTGCGAGATTGAAGCAAGAGGAGGTGGCTGGGGACAGTGGGGTCACATCGATAAGATCGGTCGATCTATGTCACTTATTGATCTCGTAAATAGTTCCTATGATCAAATAACTGTGAGACCTGTATAGTTCAAACTTGATTGATCCAATTGCAGCTCTATGAGCCAGGTGCTGCATATGTGTCAAACGTGCATTGACGGTATCCAATACAAATTATATAAGTTGTTGGTTGGAACATGCGAGGAGACCAAGAAGGCTGTCATGGACAATATGGACACGCAACCTATGAGCGAATCGGTGCTTTCCCCAATCTCAAAGCTGCAGCTACATAGCCCGGGTACTGGGGAAGCTTTGCAGGTGGACGCAGCAGAGTCTCTTCAAGAAGAGTCTGCAGAAGAAGAAGAACAAACACAAGATGAATGTATTGAGCCAATCGAATGCCACGAGGTTGAAACATTTCTCATCGAGTCTGATGAAGACTGCATGCTGTCGCCCAAGAAAATCATGAATGCGCCTGCAGCGAACCATGATGTCAGCAAATCAGCACCTCCGGCACCTTCGGGTACCATGGCAATCGGGACAGGTGAAGATGGTTTCATCAATGAGAGTCAGGCCCCGTTTGTGCCTGGTTTGGAGGTTGCCCATGCAGAGAGCAAGGTTGAAACCATCTGCGACTCTGATGAGGAGAAAAAAAGGTGTCTTCAAGGACAGTTTGGGGAGAGGTTCATAGTTCCATTTGTCCAGGGCAACAGTTTTTGACAGTTCGATCTCAATTTGCAAAAAAAAACCTACAATAATACTATTATATGTTCGATTAAAACTACTATATAATCTGGAAGACTGCACGTTAGATGCAGGATCGCAAGCCTTTGGCGGCGCCAGTTGAGATCCCTCAAAGCTTGGAAGCCCAAGCGGATGAGCAGCTGAAGGCTTTGGACGGGGATCCTATGGATGATGTTCACAAGGCTGAAATGGTAAAAGTCTGGGGCTCAGTGGATTCTTACCTTCGAAGTTTGCAGTGCTGGTTTCCAGAATGATACTCTTAGTATTATATCATGCCGGCCTAAAGATTATAGTATGAGCCCATTGAAGTCAGCTAGCTGGTACCATGTCGGACTGGTAAATTGTTCATGCACCAGAATTCATGGGAGACAAACGGTGTGGAAAATCGTTTGACAATAACTCATGCTGAGGGGTGTATGTTTTGTATCACCACACAAAATGATCTTCCTCTCCACCCGTGTCCCTGCTGCACCCCGGCCGGCTCTTGAGGCTCAAGCTGCGATCCGGCAAATGTGCAAGGAGACGGCAGCAGCAGCCGAGGATCCTGACCGAGAGATGCGAGAAGCTTTGGATGAGGAGGAGGAGGTGGAGGCCAAAGCTGAGAAGCTGAGGAGGGGGAGGGGTCGTGGACGCGGCCGCGGCCGTGGTCGGGGAAAGAAAGTTCCAAACGATCCCAATGGTCAGGAGGTCGAACCGAACCCAGAAGAAGCTCCCCAACCCAAAGGTTCGTCGAAACAAAAGAAGAGGGCGAAGGTGTGTGCAGATCCATCTCTCCAGCAAACCAGCGATGTTCCACCTGGACCTGGTGGCAACCAATTGGTCGAAACTGTGCCTACTTCCAAGTCAGCAGGCCCAACATGTGATGAGGCTCATGATGAGGCTCATGATGAGGCGGCGGTGCGTTCCCCAAAGCCTAAGGTGCTGAGAAGGACTGTCACTCGATCTAGACACAAGCACCTTGCAAAGCTCCGATCGATGTCGCGCAGCCCGGCCTCCAAGAAGCAAAAACAAGGACATGGTGGTCCTGCCATGAAGGAAGGTGGGGTGGCTTCTCAGGAAAACGAGGCTGGGGGGGAGGAGGCAGCAGTTCCAAATATGACTGGCAACAAGCCTGGTGTCAAGATGGATGGGCCAGCAGATCCTTCTTTACTGGCT